TCAAAAAATTGTCCAATGACTTATTTAACATGTTTTGGAAAGTTCAAGGACTTATTTGTTTCAAAAAAAAGTTCAAAAACTTAATCATTCCAAACAAGAAAGTTCATTGGTTTTTATTTTACTTTTCCCTTAATTTTTTATAAATTGTTATATTTAGAAATATATATAAAAGCAATATTCACTGACACCGAAACAACAGTCTCCTCCGTCTCTCTGTTCTCTTCGTCATGTTCAAAACCACTCTCTGCTCTGCTCTCCTCTTTCTCCTCACCATTTTCAAACCTCAAGCTCACGTTCATGGAGTAGAAACGACACCGCCATCAAACGACTGTGATTTCTTCAAAGGAAGCTGGTTTATAGATCGCTCGTACCCGCTGTATAACGGATCCGGTTGTCCTTTCGTCAATCCAGGATTGAATTGCCAGAAAAACGGAAGAATCGATAAAAGGTACCTCAGCTTCAGATGGCAGCCTCATCGATGTCAACTCGCCAGGTCAGTCTTCATTTAAGTTTTCTGTTAAATCGCCATTGCAGGATGAATTCCAATTGCTGAGATCTGTTTCTAGTCGTACTGGTGCTATGTTCTTCACTCGAACACCAAATCGGACACAAATTTTTTTGATTTCAGAAACTATCAATTGATGTATCAAATCAACGAATCAAGTCGAACTTCCAAAACATGATGTAGAAATAAGAAAATCTGGTTAAATACGAAATGTGTAGTTGTGAAGTCGATTGCAATGGAAATCTGCAGGTTCAACGGCGAGGAGTTCTTACGGAGAAATAGGGGAAAGAAGATCATGTTCGTCGGAGACTCGTTGAGTTCGAATCAATGGCAATCGCTAGCATGCATGCTTTACCACACCGTTCCTCGCTCCAACCATATCTTCGTGAATCAAGGACCGCTTTCGAATCTTTCGTTTCCCGTAAGTTCCAGAATCAATGTTTGTTCAATTGGATTTGTGTAAATTGTTTTGCAAATTTGAAGTTTTAATTTGTGTTGATGAAGGAATATGGAGTTTCGGTTATGTACCTGAAAAACGGGTTTCTTGTAGATCTGGTGGTGGAGAAAAGGGGACGGATTCTGAAACTGGACTCCATTAGTAGATGCAGTAAATGGGAAGGAGTAGATGTTCTCATCTTCAACAGCTATCATTGGTGGACTCACAGTGGACGAAAAAAAACGTATGTTTTGATTTGCACCTAATTTACGAAATTAGATACAACTTGTTTTATGTGGGGGTTCTTGGAGACTTGCACATTTTTTTAGTAGGATCTGTTTACTAGACGTTTACTGCACTTACTAGCAATAGTCTCTCACCACTTATCTTATCCGGTTACATTCTCGGCTATTAAAATAGATTGTTGATTGTTATTAAAATAGATTGTTGATTGTTGGTAAGCATTTACTGGGTACGAGTCTTCTCTCTTGCTTACCAGATAAAATTTTTGGTCATTGTTACGCCTTTTACCGGGTAAGATTCTAGGTGGTTATGGTGGAGAGTAGGCATAAAGGCTCCATTGTGTTGGTAGGTGCTACCGGTAACAACATCAACCATTAAAATAGATTGTTTGTAATCGTCTTTTACCATTAAGAACTTACCCGGTAAGATTCTTGATGTTATATGTCTCTCACCGAGTAAGATATTCTTGATCGTTATCATGTTCACCTGGTTAGATAAGTGACACTCGTTAAGCACTTACCCGGTGAGCTTTTGGTAAATGCCCCTTGGTAGGTGACGACAAGGGTATTGAGAGGATGATGGAAAGTAGGCAAATACGCTCCTTGTGTTGGTAGCTTTTCCTGATAGGACCTAACTTTATTGCTTGTGTTTCTTACCTACATGATGAAGTTGCCATGTATATTCATTACTACTTGTATTACAAGTCTTGCCTGATTACACCGTCTGTTTGCACACCTTTAAAGTGTGCACACACCATTGAATCATTGTTCTACTTTTACATTGGCTTGTACACACCATTGTTTTATGCACAAGTTGGGGGTCCTCATGGAAACAACTTCTCGATCTATGGTTGGGGTAAGGTCTGCGTACATCCTCCAAACCCTACTTCAGAGTGGAATGTATTGGAGTCGTTTGATTTCATTTGATTTGGTTTGGTTTGGTTTTATTTTACGCAATAATTCCTTGAAGGGTTCCTATTCCTACATATGATTTGGTTTTGGCTGCAGATGGGACTATTATCAAGTTGGTGAAGAGATATTCAGAGACATGGAGCGCATGGATGCTTACAAGATCGCGTTGACAACTTGGGCTAAATGGGTCGATTCGTACGTAGATCCTAAGAAGACCCGAGTCTTTTTCCAAGGGATTTCAGCCGTTCACGACCTGTAAGCTACAGTACTGATATCCAAATGAATCGCGTCTTGTGCTTTTGGTTCTAACTGTGGATTCACTTTATGTGATTTAGAGGCCAAGATTGGAACGAACCTACTGTCCGGAACTGTGAAGGCCAAACTCTACCTATCCGGGGACTTCATTATCCCGGGAAGAGATACCCAGGAGAACAAGTGGTGAAAGACGTGTTGGCGAAAATGAAAAATCCCGCTTATTTGTTGGATATAACACTCCTTACCCAGTTAAGAAAAGATGGTCACCCATCCAAATATGGCGATGAAGGCGTAGACTGCAGCCACTGGTGCCTCGCTGGAGTTCCCGATACTTGGAATCAAATTTTGTACAATATCCTGCTCAGGAGTTAGAATTTTTGCACATGAGAAGGTAAGTTCAAACTTCGAATGAATCATTTAATTAGCAAAAACAACTGGATTATGTTCGTTTTTCATCCTTCCTACTACACCATGGAATTAAAAAAACAGAAGAATTTCGAAGAACATGAAACCGTAAATCCAGAAAGGGATAAGGAGACATGTTTACAAAGATTAAAGATTTGTGGAATGAGCCTAGGTCTGTCTCTGTATCCTCTTGTCTCTTATGGGCAAATCCATGGGCATTTGAGCTTGGTGTGGATGGTCAGGTCCCACGTACACCTTAAGATGTGTAAACAGATCTCTTCCAAGCTGCACCAAAAAAAAACACAAAAATGGATGAATTTATTGAGAATAGATGAGGGGTTTGGATGCCTGAATTGAACACTGAATCAAGTAAGAAACTTTATTAAGGAAATGTGAACTCACCCTTCCTTTAGGAAGCATCCCACGGACTGCATGCTCGATAATCCTTTCAGGAATCCTTTGCTGAAGCTGATCAAAAGTTTCCACTGTCATCCCACCTGGTCTTCCTGAATGCCTCCTGTACAGTTTTTGAGACCTCTTTTTGCCCGAAACGGCAACTTTCTCAGCATTTACCTATATTTTATCAACATCAAAACGACGTTATGCAAAAAGTTGCTCAAAACAAATTACTATAGGTGCGCTTTCCAGCTAGTGAAGCTATACAAACCACACGAACCCAATATATATCCCACTCGAAAGTGGGGTCTGGGAGAGGTAGAATGTACGTAAACCACCAGGATCGAGAGGCTGTTTCCATGAAGACCCCGGGCTTGTGCATGAAACAAATGTGTGTGCAAGCAGCCAATAACGATTCAACGGTTTACAAGCAGACAATGTCATGTAATGCATACCACAATCACAAATGCTCCCATGTCTACACTAGGTGTATAAGTAGGCAGATTCTTCCCACGTATGTGAATGGCTATAGTTGATGCCAGCCTTCCTAGTATTTTATCAGTCGCATCAACAACATACCATGTCTTTGCCGTGTTGACGTGATCTTCGGCTTTAGGGTACCAAGTCTTGTTCCATACGTCCTGGCAACAAAAGAAACAAATAATGTCTTTTTTAAAAAAACAAGAATGTTTTAAGACGTTGCATATTTAATCAGCAGTTATATATCTGTGAGAATATATGGAATCTAATTAAATTACTCTCCAGAAGAGAAAGTGTCAAGTCGAAACCGCTATGAGACTCTAACAATATCTTTACAACGTAGAAGTCTCCACTGACCTAAAACTTCTGTTGGAATATATGAGTCTAGAAGGTAGGCTGAATGACCTCAACAGACCTCACCTGCATAAATAGCCCCAATTTTGAGGCATAAATTCAAGCAAAAAGGTTGATTACTGGCAACTTCAAGCATCCCCACATGAAACCCGACCCCTTAAACCACATGTGAGAAGGCATTTTAGAGTTGACTCAAAGGCTGAGGCTAGGTTAGCTGAGGGGTAACCTGTTGTGTATTTGAGCAAAGTGCTCCACCCCTTTGCCAACCAAGCCCAATGTTGACCCATAAATTCATTATGGTTTATGCAATGAAGGGAATTCTTGTGGGCTTCCATCTCAAAACCCCCAAACCTTCACATTTCCTATTTCGTAAATAAGAACTTGTCCAGTTTCAAGCAACGATGAAGGCCGATCTATGAACACCATACTTCATAACAATATGAAAGCACATGATACCTATACTTAGGGGCCGTTTACCAAATGCTGAGTAAACGCTTACCAAATCACATTACATTATCGGATGAATATGGTAAGGACCAAGAATCTTATCCGGTAAGAGCAAGACAAGGACCAAGAGACTTACCTGGTAAGAGGGCAACGACTCTTACATGGTAAGTGCTTACCGGGTAAATTGTTCCATACGATCTTGTTTTGATGGACTAAAATCTTACTCGGTAAGTAAATGATAGTGTTAATTTTTGCCGGTAAGCACTTACCGGTATCGGCCCCTAAATCTCAAATCTGAATTCAACTCACAACTTTCAATCCATGTTTTGATAAACAATCGATTTCGATTGCTACAATTTTCATGGAATGGAGTGTTAATTCGATGTTTTTTTTACACTTCTTGTTTCAAATCCATCTCTAGGATTTAACCTAAATCGCCCAACGAAGATCGTTATAAGGCACAATTCTGTAGAGTAATCGTTGCACAAACTGTGCTAAACAAATGTTAACACAATTAACAGCAACAAATCAAGCATGTAACAGAGAAACACTCCAGAATTCGTTCCAATTTCGAATTCGAACGAAGACGAAGATAGAAGAACAGGATTAAAAAGGCGTACCGGTCCTGTGAAATCGGAATCGGTAAACATCCACCGCTGCTCAACCGGTGCGAATGCTCGTTGTTGAACTTTCTGGTCTTCGCAACGAATCTGGAAGTTCCGATTGGTTCGAGCTCCGACGATGTTCTTCGGAGAGGAGGCTGAGGCTGCCATTGTTGAGAACCCAAACAGAACTGGAGACCTGTTGTTGTTGTTGTTGTTTAAGGAAGACGGTGATGATGCGAACATCACAGACGATGAGGTCGCGTACGCCATCGCCATTTGGTGTTGGTTTTCTTCAGCCGGTAACCGCCGTCGTTGATGTTCCTTGTTCAGGGAAGGAGGATAAGGTTTTCGCGCAGGGGAAGTCCAGTTGATGCTGAAAATGCCTTTTATCAGAGTGAGTAAAATATTTTCAAATCTACCCCTGTTCTATTTGTTATTGACACAAAACCCCCCTAATGTTTAGTTTGTCCAAATTCATGAATTATCAAATATGAAACGGTCAAAAGATAGCACTAGTACATTGTGCATATGCGATTTCCCAATAATTAGACTTTCAATGCTTTAAAAAAAAATGACGCGACTTTCTATGCGACTTAGGTTGTTGGAAAGTTACATGGTTTCCTGGATCTGATGTACAAGATCAGTGTTTGTTGTGAGTTTTTGGGCTACTTAACCTGTCAGAAAAGTTTCCAAGTCACTTTTTGGAAGTTTATGATCGTTTTTTACAGGGTTTTTTCAAGTTTTTCTGATTTCTGGGTTCTTATCCACGGCCAGTTACATACATAAACCTATATATATTTGTAATCATTTCATTATTTAAACTACTTAATCCTCTCCTTTCTTTTCATGCAAAATCTGCTGAAATTGTTCATGTGAGATATATTCTGTTGTTGAATATATCTCATTTGATTAGGCAATCATGATGTATCTTAGCCTATAATCTAAACAACGTTGATAGTGGGGACTAATAATATCCTAAGAACAGTGAATTTCACGTCTTAATTATTGATTTGCTGCAACTATTTCTCCTTATATTACCCTACATCTTTCTAACACATTTTTAGTTAGCGAAATTGTTAATTATCATGCATTGCTAATCTCGGTACCTCGTCACATTTAAACTCCTAAATGAAAAATTAAGAACGTTTGCCATACGGGAAATCTTATGTCGTCTAAAGTTTGGCTCGATAATTAGACCGAGACATCAAACAAAACGGACCTAAGTGGGAGAAAAATGCAATTTTCCCCCTTAAAAATAGAAGGAACATATATCAAGGAGATAGTCAGGAACTCAGGATATGTAAATTACTTGTATAATATTAAAATCTTAAAACTTTCTACAATTCTTTCAAATGACTATCTCACTCTCTCTGGTATCCATGTACTGAATGTACCCTAAATGAACCAACATCGTCCTGCTAAATATAACCCCCAGCATTTCAGCATGACACATCGACGTCGACCTTCCTCTTTTTACATTTGAAACACACGAATGACCCCAATTTACCCTAAAAAATAGCTCATTTGAAAACACTTGTTAAGAAATAGCAGACTAATAGACCGCTAGAGTTGCAAAATGCATAAAAAAACTGTAACAAAACTTATCTTAATTCCTATTTAATGTAATGGTGATTTTTCATTCTCAATTGGCATAAAAAACATTAAATCATTCAATATTGTACCCATTTACCCGATATGGGTTTTACGGTACATAGCATAATCTATAAGCATTTGTTATGTTAAGTGAGAAAAAACCAATTTATTGTTACACAAAATATAAAGTCAAAACTCGTTATATTTTGATGTTTTTAGACATTTGGTTAACTGACTGACTTCGAAATCTCAAACTTATATTAAAGTAAATCGATTTTTTCTGGTCCTAGTAATCAAACATAAGATATTTATAAGAAAGCCAGTTCGGTTAATCCATAAATCAGTTTGATTTTTTTAATTTCGGTAATTACCCTAATTGATGAGTTAACATGACCATTTCTGACTATTTCCAACTCAACCGTTAAGAACATTCTTTAAATATCATAATAATAATAATAATAATAATAATAATAATAATAATAATAATAATAATAATAATAATAATAATAATAATAATAATAATAATAATAAAATCATATGTGTATTTATAAAAAATTAATATTATATATATACAATTATAAAAACTTTAATACTATATTAATATATCATTTGCAAGAGACCAACTTTATTGAACTCTAAATATAAAAATCAACTTAAAACTTCTATAATTTTTAGTGATAGATTAGAAATAAAAACACTTTCATTTCTATGTTTTTAGCGTTGGGTTGGGTTCACATGAGACCGACTTGTTTTTGTAAGACCATTTTTTTACACTTTAAACTTCACAGTAAAATGCTGTAAAAGTAAAAGAAAAGAAAGTCGAACCTTCACAGCAAAAGTTCTATAAAAGTTACATTCACAACATTTTGCTATAAAGTTTTAAGGATAAAAAAAGTGATCTTACGAAAACAAACTGTTGTTAGCCATCAATTACTACATGTTTTTTTTTATTAACCTGGATATCTAACCCGCTGTTCGAGCCGACTAATCACAGGACGACCATCTGCTTTGCAGATAGCCTGGAGTCACCGCATTTAAACCTTCGTGGCCACATTTTTTTTTATTCCTCCTTGTATTTGAACCAGGGATTCCCTGGTATTTTTGACCTTTGGAGTCAAACTCAAACCAATTAGATATCACCGTTGTGATTACATGTTTCAACCAAGAACTAATCTCAAATATTTTAATCTAAATGTCCCAACTACCCCTATTATTTCCCTTACCACCTTGTAGAACAACAAATTTGCATAACACCCCCTCATAAATCATGGTACATATGGTGCATATTTAAGTTTTCAAATGTTCAAATATTAATTACAATCCTATTTTTATTGAATTTTAAGTAAATTGAAGCATACTTTATGTTCTTGCTTTATATAAAAAAAATGATGAAATGCATCTGATTTCTTTTTAGAAATTATCTGTCATCAAATGGACATTTCAGTAAACTTTCACTGACTCTACAAAGATTTTAATCGTATTCTGAATACACAGTTCGTCAAAAGCTCAATCAAAAGTTATGAATAGCATTTTAAATAAACCGATTCGTAATGTCCTTATTTTCTCTCCCAAAATAAGTGTTCCCAGTAGAATGTCAGTCTTTGACATATATAATTACTACATTTTTAGTTAACCAAATGACAATTTTACCCTTATTTAATATATATATACCCTGTCAACTTTTAAATATTTTTGCATTAATTATTGATAGATTTGAAAATGAACTTGCCTATTTTTTAAACCTCATACTTATTTTAGAACAAACATAAATAGAAATTTGTAACACTTATTCTGGAATGAAGAGAGTATTTATTAGTAACGATCATACCGATTAGGGATGCTCATGGATTGGGTTGATCAGGTTGAAGACATTTAAACAACCCAACCAATATTTGAAGTTTGAAAAATCTCAACTCAGTCCAACCCAAAACCATATAGGTTAGTCAGGTTGATACTTTGGTACATTGAAATATTCTATTGACCTTTAATACAGTGTTTTTCTACTTATAATTTCTTTTTCATCATCGATCATTTGATACAACATATCCATACTTCTTAAATCCTAAGTATATCACATTCTACTATTTTTTCAATTTACATATATATGTTCACATTTAGTGAACACGTATACTAAAGAGTTACATAGAGATGGAGAAGAGATTGAAAATATGTACATAAAGAGGGTACATGACGGTTAATTGTCTAATATACATATTAATATAAACTTAACAATCATATTAAATCCAAAATATAAAAGGATAACGGGTTCATCGGATTAGGTTCAAATGACCGTAACTCAATTCCAACTTAGTACCTACGTTTCAAAGATTTTAGAACTTGGTTGAATATCGAGTTGCTTCAGGTTGGATCATTGCTCTTTGGGTTGTCCAGAGACCAGAGCATCCAAATCATACCAATATATAAGTGTATGGATTTATAAGTAACATTTTGAAGTTAGTAGACCATTCTTGTAATTACATCAAAGTTTATGGGTCAAAATGAAACTTCAATCTCGTAGTCGTAACCTCGTAGGCTCGTAGCTTTCTTTCAAAGATTTTGGCAATTGCGACTCGTCACACATCCCGTTGCTTCCCAACGACGGAATCGAACCCCATAAAAAGAATGGCAACGACTCCATTGACAACCATTCCCATAACCCTCTCTTCACTCACCCTCCGCCGTCGCCGGTGTACCAATTTCTCATCGTTTTTCCGACCGGCAAAGAAACCCCTAATTTGCACCTTCACCTCCAATCTCGTCAAAGCTTCAGCAATGGAGTCGTCGTTTTCTTCGACAAGAGTCCAATCGAGCGGCGGTTCTAGTGTTCCTGATCTAGGCCTTGTTCAACGTGCGATTCAATTGGCTCAATTATCACCACCTACATGGCAATCTGCTATTTTCAGTAACCTTGTGATTTTTCTTCTGGGATCGCCGATTCTAGTCACCGGATTGTCGCTCTCCGGCATTGGCGCCGCCTTCTTGCTCGGTACTCTCACTTGGCGTGGGTTTGGACCATCTGGGTTTCTTCTCGTCGCGACTTACTTCATCATTGTAAGTTAATTTCGATCAAAATCCCCCAATTTTGTGTTTCTGATACGATCTCTCCCCAATTGAAATCAAATGTAGCACTTATTGAATTCTGATTTCTTGTCGATTTTGACACAAAATTAAAGCTAATAACATCCTTCCATCAATAGTTGTTCATCTTGAGGTTTACAAGTAGTTTGTTTGATCATAAAGGTGTAAGATCCCATGTTCGTTTGGGAATGAAAGTTGCCTTTCTCTCACCGAGTCTTGATAAAGCGGACAATATCTGGTACAGTTAGCTTGATATGTTATAAATAGCATCAAACCGGGAACCGGATTAGTGTGTCAGCGAGGACGCTTTGCTCCAAAGGGGTGGATTGTAAGATCCCGTTGGGAAGGGGAACGAAAGTTGCCTCGTAAGGGACGGCATACCTCCTCTGTCAGACAAGTTTTAAATACCGTTAGTCCAGGTACGAACAAAAGAGACAATATCAAGTACGGTTAAAGTGGGATGTTACAAAAGTTCAAACCTTTTATCTCTAGGTTTCAATTCCAAGAACCATATTACCCTTGAATTTATGGGATCAATGGAGAATCCTTTTAGATTTGTTTGGTAATTGCTGAATGGTTGGGTGCAGAATGATTAAGAGTCTCTCATGATATAATGCAAAATAAAATGTAATTGTTTGGTAATTGTGTACAATGAAATTAGGGCTTTTAATGATTAATGGAGATCCAGGATACAAAATCATTCAGAGGGTTTTAGAATCATTAAGAGACAGTCTTTTTTGCCAAACAAGATTCACTTCTTAATGATTCAGAGGTTGCCTCTTAATGAAACTATTAAGAGGTAAACAAACAACCCCCTTAGCCTCTTTATAGGGTGTTCATCCAAACTTCACAAACCGTCCACAATGCACCCCAAAGGACGGGTTAGAACATCCGCGGTGCGGTTTGCTGTTTGATACGGGAAATTTCTTGAACAATTTCCCTCGGTTTTGATACGGGAACATAACATAATCCATGTTTTTGCTCTCATTCAGAGTGCTTTTTGGATTATCCAAAAGTAAACTTCATGAATCCTTTCGTTAAGGGTCGAAATATTGCTTTCGGAAAGTGGGTTTTATCCGTTCCAAGTTTGATTCGATCGATACATCACAAATCGAGATTTCTAACAAGAAGTTGATCTTAAATATTATAGGGTACAGCAGTTACCAAGGTAAAAATGGCTCAAAAGGAAGCTCAAGGTGTTGCGGAGAAGCGAAAAGGTAGAAGAGGACCCGGGAGTGTGATAGGTTCAAGCGCCGCTGGTTGTGTCTGTGCGTTGCTTTCAATCTACGGAGTCGGTGGCAAACCATTTTCTCGGCTTTGGGAACTTGGGTTCGTCGCTAGTTTTTGCACCAAGTTGAGTGATACCGTCTCTAGTGAGATAGGGAAGGCGTATGGCAAAACAACGTAAGTAATTCTAGTTTTATCTGTATTATTCTGCAAGGATGTCCACCTCCTTATCTGCTAGGCAAGTACAACAACTACATTATTGTTTTGATGTTTTTGTGACGTAGATATCTAGTAACAACATTTAAGGTTGTTCCAAGGGGAACAGAAGGGGCGGTTAGTGTCGAAGGGACACTTGCCGGGTTTCTAGCCTCGATTCTTCTTGCCTCCGTTGCTTGTCTTTTGGGCGAGGTACGATGTTCCATCTTCACATCTTCCGATTCCGTACGTGGCTTTAAAAATCTTTTGAGGCATATGCCTCAGGCGGCCTCGAGGCCCGATTCAACCTTTTAAAACATTGGTTACAAAAGGCACTTTTTTTTTTTTTTTTTGTTATCCGTTGCTGTTTTTAGATAAACCAAACGAGCTCATTCTAAGGTGGGGTCTGGAGGGTAAGATGTACGTAAACTTGACATCTGCTCCGAATGGGAGTTGTCAGATTGTTGTTTTTAGATGGGATTACGGGTTTTAACTATTGGGTATGATGTATTACTTTTCGAGATACCAGATCAAGGTTGCTGAAGCTGTCATCTGCGTGTTGGCTTCACAAATCGCGAATGTTGGTGAGAGCGTTATAGGGGCGGCGCTCCAAGAGAAGGAAGGATTCAAATGGGTGCGTTAAATCTTGATTTTTTTTCTCGAAGGACGTGATTTTTTACGAATCGAATCTGATCTAATCGTGGTGTTGCATTTGCAGCTCAACAACGATGCGGTGAATGTGATCAATATATCTCTTGGAAGCATGCTTGCCATCTTGATCCAGCAAGTTGTACTCCAAAACTGGATTACATGAGAAATCCTGCACTTTGATATCTCTAAGTTTGCAAACTAATCGGATCGGATTTCTTCATTTCGTGAGGTAATTCCGTGCTGCAAGTTCTTTGGGGGCTTTTGATCTGCAGAATGTTGGAATGGAATATGTCAAAGGAATTGGAATACAGAAGAAATTAAAATGAAAATATCAGGATTGCCCATGAATGGAATGAAAGAAAATATGTCACGGATTGGAATACGTTTGTTTGGTTCACTGAGAAAATGAAACGAAATGATGAAAAAAATGACCAAAATGCCCTTTCGTTGAATTTGTTTTTTATTTATTTTCTAAAAAAAACATAAATAATAATAATTTAAGAAACTTGGTTCGACGGGGTTAGTTTTGTCATTTTAAGAAAGAATGGTTGGAATGGAATTCAATGGAGCCATGGTTGGCGGAATGTATGGAATTCAGTTCCATTTCATTCAAACGTCGGAATAGAATTCAGTTAATGGAATCGACCATTTCAACTCCATCAAACCGTTTGGGCTAATATATTTCATTTTTTTTATGAACAGGTTGGTTCAAGTAGTCGTTTTTTCATGGTGGGATTTTTATTTAAAAGGAAAGGTGGCTTTAGACTCGGTTCGAAGGCTGCTGCGAATTCATATTGATTTCGGTTACGCCTTCAAAATGGCAGCCGATGCCCTCGTGACGGTCTCTCGGTGTTTCTCAAGATGATCAACCAACTATGGAATCTGTTTCTCTTACTATTACAACTCTGTTTATGTTACTATGTAATTAAAATTGATTGGTTTATTCCGTCGCCATTTTGTACTCATTTTAAGGAGTTAGAGGGTGTTCACTTAGGACTTAATAAGCTTAATGGGTTAAAGAGCTTATTTACTCAGCAAAAATGTGATATTTACTTGGAACTTGTTTGCACAGATATGGGCTTATTCGCTCGGCCAAATTGTGATATTTACGTGGGACTTATTCGCACAGATATGTGCTTATTCGCACATATATGAAAAGATTGTTGTCCACGTTCAGCCAAAAATTGACATGCCTACCTATTTAATAAAACAAGCCTTCCTTCCATAAATATGAAGATACCATCTCAGATCAAGAAACATGAAGAACCAATCTCACACCAAGAAACAAGATCAAAAACTCAAATCGCCCTTGAAGTTCTACAGATTCAAAAGAAAAATAAGAACCCATCTCATATTGCAGATTTTTTTTTAAGTTTCTAAGGTTCGTTTTTTATTTTATTTCTCGATTTCATTTACGATTTCATCCCAGATTTTATTTGAGGTTTCTAATCATTTATGTTCTCTGATCCAGATTTCATTTTCGCTTTCATTTTCAATTTCAAATTCAATATCCTCCTCATAGATTGTTTATTGAATGTTTATGGTTTAGATTGTTCCTAATCTCACAGGTTTTTTTTTGTTGAAGCCTATCTGATAAACTGAAGGGTAAAACAATAATTTCTATCGTTCAAACGGTTGATTCAGTAAAAAAAGTAAATAACAGATTTTTATCTAAACAAACAAATTTATCCATACATAACTTAATGGAAAATTTGGTAAACAACCCCAAACATGCTCAAGAAAAATGTTACGAGACTTCAAACAAGCCATACAGGCAACATTAAGGGGCTGTTTACCAAACACTTACTTGGTAAGTGCTTACGGGTAAAATTTAACACTATTATTTACGTACTGGGTAAGATTTTAGTCGACTAAAACGACATCCTATGCAACAATTTACCTTGTAAGCGCTTACCGTGGTAAGAGTCATCGCCCCTCACTTACCAGGTAAGATTCATGGTCCTTGTCTCGCTCTTACCGGGTAAGTTTTTTGGTCCTTACCATATTTATCCGGTAAGGTTAACATGACTTGGTAAGCAGTTACTCGGGTAAGTGTTTGGTAAACAGCCACTAAGGGCTCCTTTACCAAATGTTTACCCAGATATAAACACTTACCAAGTCACCTTATCGGATTAATATGACAAGAACCAAGAATCTTACCCGTAAGAGGGAAGGTAAAGACCGAGAGTCTTACCTAATAAGTGAGGACGACGACTCTTACCACAATTAGCGCTTACCGAGTAAATTGTTACTTACGATACCGTTTTGGTGGACTAAAATCTTACCCAATAAGTAAGTGATAGTGTTAAAATTTTGCTAGTAAGCATTTACCCGGGTAAGCGCTCGGTAAATGGCACCTAAACGTTGCCAACCACATAGACAACTCGTAATATAAATAACAGTGATACAACATATATTATTCCAAGAACTGCTACTATATTTTTACCATTTTTATAAGTCGCACAACATTTCCTTACTCCTTGCTCCACAAGGACAACCCACCCTCCCCATCCTTCCCATCCATCCGATTACACCACAAAGTTAACTTAAATAACGAAAAAGACAAATCCCGACTCACAACACACTACACTTCCTCCACCTGAGGAATACCCGATACATACGTAAAATTACACGCACTCGAAAGGTGGCATTGAGATTTGGGAGTGCCTCCATCTTTTCAAACTAACCCCTAGGATAGATGTCTAGACTTGGAAGATGCACCTAAGGTTACAACACTGAAAGGACCATCGCGTCCAACCGACACGAGGCATTAGAAGAGAAGTGGGTTATTTTAGCTAAATGGCCTACGGAAAAGTGCTTTTTAAATCCAAGACCTTCTGACAAGTTTCTAGGCATTCTTCTGTTAAGCATGTGATATTCTCAAACTTGTCGGAAGGTCATGATTTTAAAAAAACCTATCAGAAGGACATTTAACCAGTGGACCCTGTTACAAGTGTCGTCTCCTCTTTAAGGTACCTGTATTTTGTTGAGAACCGTAGAAATTTGGCACCGGTAAGTAGCATACATCTGGGACAAAAGCAGCAGAATCGATTTGGTGTTGATGATGAGGGAGATCTTTTGGCCAGCACAGTCCTGAAGCAGTAGGTGGGGAAGAGATCTGTGGGACAGCCCAAGAAGAGTCAGGGACCTGACCCAAGCAATCTTCACCATCAAGTTCCACCTCCATGTCTCTTAGAATCGGGGAACCATCTGATTCTCCGAACTTGCCACTATCAGCCTACAGATCATTCAATCATAGCATCAAAAGTTAAAACTAACTGCTCTAGTATTACAATTAGATATCACAAAAACAGCATAGAAAGAAAAAACTGAGTAAGCTGCATCTTCAAAGTAAGGCATCATCACCGACTTGGCACAAGTACAGAATGCGTAAGTGATCCCATGCACCAAACTACACTAGGTTATGTATTCATCAACATATGGAATAACATCATAAGCAGGAAATTGGAAAGATGGCGTGTATGAAAATATAGAAGTTGAAGAACTTAAAAGTGGTTTTAATATCAGACGCTCTCAACATCCTGTTCTAGGTTAAGTTGAAACAAGATCAGATTACATCTGTTACTTTTTCGGTTAGTAAACCAACAATCACCTTGATGCTATTAACAGCATCCAAATTGGTCATTAACGGCTGAGAAGACTCGAGCAAATTATATACCAATGAAGTGAGACCACAAGGAGAATGCGTCCCAGTCGCAAAACAACAAACAGCACAATTGAGTTAACAGAACCAATTTTCCAGAACCTTCTCCTATTATATTGAATTAATATCAATTTCTCGTGAATTGGTTGTATCACGTGTAATTTTTTAAAAAGAACATGTGTTACCTTAGATGAACCGTTGTCTATGTAGTTATAACTCTGACTGAAATCTGACAGTCCAAGGAAGTCATCAAACTGCCATTGTTGAATACTTTCAGCAGAAGAACCTCCAGCAAAAGGCATCTTAGGAAAGAGAAAATCAACAGTTCCAGCAGCTTGGACAGGCATAACTTTGTTGAATTGACTTGTTGCTGACATTGGAACGCTCCTTCCTTGCAGAGATTGTAATTTTTCTGCTTCTGGTATCTTATCACAGGAGTGTGATTTTCCCGTAGACGATGACACACCGGGGTCAGCAGCTTCAAGCCCTACTTTCACTCCTGTAAGTAGAAACCTCTGATGTGATGAAACTAAACTATTGACTGTATGTATGGCAACATCACATTTTCTGCAGAATAAAGCCCTGTCTTCCAGACAAAAGAAGTAGCCAACTGCTTCCTGTATATTTGGATAATTGTTTAGACACCAGCCAGAGAATATGACAGCATATTATCATACGTTTGACAACTACTATCAACAGATGAGACCTTCATGCTGCTACAATCACATACACTTGGCACAATTGAACAAGTTGCATACCCAAGGTTCACAAAAATAAGATTTGGGCATATTCGTGATTGAATAACTAACCATTGTTGTTTCTTTTCCCAAGATTTATGCAAGTTACCAACACTAGATGTAGCCATGTAAATAAACAGTTTAGATCAAACATCAAGAAAGTACAAGTAGAGAAAAGACTAAGCAACCAACCAAATCCAGATGCATGGTATATGCTATGGGGATGTTTCTTTATTTTTGTATTTTCATGCCAGATCGAGATACAAAATAGGGAGATTTTTCTTTGTTCTTATATTTTGATCCTGAACTTTCTGCAGGAAGGGTTTACCACTAGCACAATACAAACCACCTAACATGTTCTGAAAATCTACAACCAATTTAATACCAGTCTGCATTGACTGTGTTCATTTTCATATTGGTGGTGCTACCACGAATTTCTGATATTCTGGTTCCCATTTTCAAACACTAAGTAAACACGGCAGGCCTCTTCTAGCTTCTCAACTTTGATTGCTATCATAGATTAGTGTGAGAACATACATGTTAACCCTGTCATCCTTCTCTCTGTCTCATACTTGTTTTATATTCATTCCTGAAATACCCTAAACATTGATCCCAGGATTTCACAGGCTCGCTGTCCAGAACTACAATAAACAACCGTAAATTACCCATGAAAATTTCAGGTATTTTGACCTCACTGTCACTGCACATCAAAACTAAATGTTGATTATGGGCAAAGTAATCATAAATGGGGAATGAATACACCAAAGAGAAAATTAATTAGAACTGGTGACATATATCGTCGTAGTTCATACTGAATGATACTCCTCCCCATAAATTGGAAACTTGATTCTGCCAGAGTGCTTAAATACAGGAGAAATATCTTAAACCAAGTATAGATTCTCATTTTGAAGAAAATACATATGGACCAAACCAAACTTCACCGGTGCCACAAAAGGGTAGAGGTCCAAACCTCATAGGTACACTGATGGCACAGATATGCCATATCTCATTCTAGCTTATAAGCTCTAAAAAATATTGCTAGCATTCATTTGAAAAAAACACCAGAGGCTTGGCACTTATATTGCTACTCGATGGCATAACCCTGCTCATGAGCAATACATAAATGTCAGATAAACTCATGACAGCGAACCGTAACCATTTATCATGCAGAGTGGGGCAAAACTGCTACAATTTTGACAGGGAATTGGCACTATCTAATCTGATAAGATTTAAAGAGAAATATCTCCAGTTACGATAAGTCATAGAAAGTGTACTAGAATCATTTGCTATTCAGAAGAAATCAATTAGTTCAGCACTGAATTTAAAACTCGGTCGGTGGCCCCAATGATCCATCTATCTTCCTAATTTCCAAACGAATTCATTATTAATAACTTGCTTCTAAACATATCATAGCTCGTTGATATATAGTTACGGAAAATCATAATTACTAGCATCGTTTGCTATTCAAAAGAAATTAATTAATCAACTAGTGATTTCAAAATTCAGTCACCTAGCCACAAACATCCTCAGAGGAATTCATTAGTAACTTAATTCATAAACATGTCATATCTTGTTAACATAGTCATATATCATGTGTTGTACATAACTCACAAAAAATCATTCAAAAACACAAAATTCAAATACTCGATCAAAATCCTCGAGTAAAACGAAACACATGAAAATTAGAGAAATACGTAATCAAAATCCAAATATACCTGACAAATATCACACTTTGGCATTTGAGTATTAGAAGTAGAAAGAGGAACCCTCTGATGCTTACTGGCGAGCTTGTTAGCAGCATGTACCTTCTCATCACAAGTCCAACACAACGCCGCCTCATCGGCGCAACACAACACCGTAGCCTCCGCCGCCTCACAGACGTTACACTGAATCTTCATCCTTGAAATCAATCAGAAAATTCGCAGATCTTATCCTTTCTCTCTCTAGAAATTGAGATCTAGAGGAAGAAGGATATAGGGTTTAAGCAGTAAATGGGCCAAAAGGAGGAAGGGGTGGCAAGTGGGGGTTTTAAGAGAACATGTACTGATTCGTAATAGAAAAGAATTATTAAAGTCCATTTTTCTTATTTATACATTTATTTATTTTATTTAAGTAATAAATTATAAAAAATAGATGATATTTTTTGTTGCATGCAGCAGATAAACACGTGACGGTTGTACCGTGTGTGTGAGTAATGAGGAGACCGCTTTAGCTGGCTTTTACCAATCAAATTAATGCACGTCACCATATTAACTCAATTTTGTTTTGAAAATACTACTTTACACTCTCCTTTGGACTTGAAATCACATGATTTTTCATCTTTTGAAATTTCACGGTAAAATGAGGTGAACGATAATTTTTATAGTGTTTTTTTTGTAAAAGTTTGACTTTTTTTAACTTTTAAAGTTTTTTTAATATGAAGTTTTAAGTGTAAAAAATGGTCTTATAGATCTCACAAAAACATGTTAGATAAAAACCATAATTTCTAAACAACAAGATAAAAATCGTAATTTTTAACAAACCAAAAAGGTAAAAAAACATAACTTATTCTTTATTATACTAATTACATACTCCCTTCATCCCAAAGTAAATGTGGATAATGAAAATTGCACGATTTTAAAAATATTTAATTGTTACATTTTTTTAATAATAAAAGGATAATTTTACCTTTAATTATAGAGAGATATTTTCTTCGTTACATAATTAAGTGTAGAATGGAAAAGTAGACATTTATTTTTGAAAATATACATTTATTTAAGAACAAATTAAAATAGTAATGTAGACACTTACTTTGAAACTGGAAAATAGTTATTCTCAAATTTGAGAAGAAAGTTTTGAGAGAAAACTTGTCATTATTTTCGTTCTCTTTTTTTTCTTTTCTTTTTTCTCCTAAAAGATTTTCAAGAACACGAGTTATGTTTTTAACTTTCCTTCCATTTCCTTCTGGTTTTGGAGTTTCCACTTTCACTTTAATTCTTGTCCTTTTTCGTTTTTCTATAATTGTTTATTACTTGGGTTGTTGGGAAACTATGAGGCCAATTTCCCAACAACGATTCCGTGAATGACACGTAGGATTTATTAATTAAAAATTACGCGGGTGTAAGTATCTGTACTATATTATAAAGCATATGACAAAAACTCTTAAAAACCAATTTTTATACGTAAAGTACTGTTTATTAATGCATATTACTTAAAACTCAAGATTACAAATAGATTGTGCGTACATACAACTTATTAAAGCTCCATATCTGAATTCATGTAACTAACTGCGGATAAACATAATTAAATACATGATAAACATCTCATTTTAAATACAAAAAATCTAAAATATAATTAAATAAACTTTGAGTTTTAACAGAATACTTAATTATTATCTTTATAAAATGTTATACTATTAAACCAAAAATAAACTATTTCATTATTAAATTTAAATTAAATTATAATAAAAAAATAAATTAAAAAAATTACATAAAAAATGAAAACTTTTAAATAATTGATTTGATATTAACATTAATATATTTTTATGATATCTTCAAATTTATATTTTATTCAAAAATAAAATCATTATTGTTTTCTTAAAAACACATAAAATCGTATTATAACATCGACAGATACCAATAATAAAATAGAATATTAAAATCGAAATATGTCTCGTTGCATTGCACGAGTATTCTTTTTTAATAGGGGTATCTATTTCTTACTTGTTAGCCTTTAAATTACTAGACCGTATTCTTTGACGGTTATAATTGAACCTTTTTGAACTTTCAACAATCATATAATAATTACTCGGTGTTAGTATCAGTGTATATAATACCATAAAAGAAACAAATATATTACCAAACTTGCATAATTAAACCAAGAAAAACAAATAAATGTACACGTTTATTTTATTTGATTAGGTAATCTCGGGGGTGTATTCACGTCCTAATCATTGTTCTATTTTCTAACAATATCAAGAACCACAAGAGTGGTGTCTGATTGGTTTGAGCTTGACTCTAAAGGTCAAAAGTACCGGGAGGTCCCATGTTCAAATCCAACGAGGAATAAAAGTCCCCTTGTGGTCACGGAGGTTCAAATACGGTGACTCCGGGCTATCTGCAAAGCAGGTGGTCGCCCTGGGATTAGTCGGCTCGCATAGCGGGTTGGATATCCAGGTTAATTAAAAAAAATGTTATTCAGACAATACTTGCAGAAACAAGCAACGGTTCGAGTATGACAATTGCAACCAGCAATATGGGAGTTAAGAGTATTCATACTTGATTTGTCTTTCAAATGATACTTTTGAAACGTGGAGTATGGGCCAGATCATGAATTGCACGTTACAAACACACGGGAATACAATTTACGAAGTAAAAAAAATACAAGAGACTGCCCCGTATTTGCGATCCGCTAGAATCTTCAAATTGCCCGTATACGGGCACATGTATCTTTACAACGATAAAAGTGATTTATTGAAAGTAAAAGACGACAAAGAACCAACAAAAGGAATCATTTTGCGTATACAATCTACTCGTTTATCGAACTCAATACGACTAGTTACATGCATTTGTTAACTACGAATGACTCAGATCTTACTCGGTAACAAATGGGGAGGTAAAAAGATTTTCAAATTCGGAGCTCGCGAAGATAATTGTATGGTATCGCCATGTTGAATGGGATGAACGATATGAAAACCATCAATGTAGATTATCCCCTCTTTCGTGTACCAATCAATATCCATGGATTGTTCGGGTTTTATCGATCCGTGCATTAAACCCAAGTTGGCTGCTGTGGGTGAAATGGGCTCTCTCACCATGTATTGGAGATCTTTGGATAAAGCAGGCATTGCGAAGCCACCAGCTGATAACATTGCCGCTGTTGATCCTGTGGCAGTCGAGACTCTGAGACCGCTAGATCGGCAGTTCACTAAAGATGAGCTTGATAGTCCGTCTTTCCTAATTCTAGACAAAAAGAAATAATCAAGAATGTTAAAGAGTCCCAAATTGGCTAGACTTGGGGGTGTTTACCTAAAGTTTACCAGGTAAGCACTTACCCGGTCACTTACCTTACTCGGTGAGCATAGTAAGATCCGAGAATCTTACCTGGTAAGAGGCAAGAATTGGATCGAGAGTCTTACCCGGTAAGTGAGGGTGATGACTCTTACCCGGTAAGCGCTTACCAACAATCCATTTTGATGGCTGGGAATGTTGCCCACTACGGTAAGTGAGATGGTGACTCTTGATAGTAAGCGCTTGGTAAACACCCCTTAGACCATTTATCCTCAATATATGTTGGAAGCTCCCTTCTCTCCTCGAGAGCTCTTTTGGAGAGTAATCTAATGTTGTTCCGCGTATTTTCATATGGTATAAGAACCAAGGTCTACCACTCTAACGACTCTAACATTCCGGGGCAATATGTACTCATTTAGCCCCCTCTTGACATTCTGGCACAATTTGTGCTCGTCTATACTCCATTGGAGGCGCATGTTAGAGTCCCACATCGGCTGGACTTGCACCACTTCTCCTTGATGTTGGAACCTCCCTTCTCGGCTCTCTTGGAGAGCAATCTAATGTGGTTTCACATATTTTCATAACGAATAAGTGGAAAACCAAACTAAAATAACCCGGTATATTCCACTAGGAGGTGGGGTCTGGGGATTGGGATGTAGGCCTGACCTCTACCTCAAAGAAATAAGTGAAAGAACATGTATTTTCCAATAGTATACAAGGAGCCTCTTATACCTGAATGAGAACCGAGAAACAGATGCAGGACATGGATCTGCAAGTAAAATGTCGTTAAGAGCATATGTTGACAGTGGTATTGAGTTCACATGAATTGACATTCTTGAAACTTCAGAAGGAGCGGTTCGATCCTCCAGGATGTTATTTAGTATCTGCAAGATCCGACAATACATCACACGTGATCTTATTTTGTGTCTAACCAATCTAATTTTAGCAAGCATACCTGTTCGAAGTTTTTGACAGTTGCTGCACAAAGATAACCGCTGCTTCTTGTAGCATCAAACTCGTCACCAAATTCTTGAACCTAAACAAATGACACAGGAGACAAACTTCTGAATGGATTTATGTATCCAAATGAATTATGGAATCGAAGTGGTAGAGCTATACGGACGAGCTAACCTCTTGTGGTTGAGTGGGGTCGGAGTTTACTCCCAGTAATGGTATTGAATCATTCAAGAAATGGCTTGCCCGCAAAAGCGTACCATCACCACCAATGGTGACAACGAGATCCACGTTTTGAATTGGTCGTGACAGATGACTACGAAAAACAGCATCCCAGTCAACGGACTTTCTTCGTAAAATATCCTGACAAAATTCTATGGCATCTTTATGAACTCTGCACCGGTTATCCAGATACTGTAACACCTGCAACGTTTGTCGAAAGAAATGCATGTTTCAAGAAAGTCATGGAAGGAATGAGATATCTGAAGAAGAAAGAAAGAAAAGTAATTAAAGATCCATCTTTATTACAACAAGGTCTACCAATCAAGACCCAATAATGAGATATTAGAATCTTGATATTGAAAGAAGTGTAAACATAGATGTTCTTTGTGCTCCAATTCACATTTGAGATAAAATAATATGGTTGAGTGTCCATTCGTGTGTATTCTACCAGCTCTCTTTTGTACATGTTTGCGTATCATTAAGCAAAAACTTGTACCAGTTATGAATTGCCTAAACTGATAAATTTCATAAGCCTGTCAAACATGATCAAAACTTGGGATATGCCTATGGAAAAAGGCTATATTTGAAAATAATTTCTTATCTATAACATGTCTTTATGGAAACAACCACTCTGCTCTCTTGGGTGTAGGTTAGCTATGCATATATCCCACCCGACCACCCCCATACCCACCTGCAGGGGGGGATACCGGGACCATTTGGTATGGTTTGGTTTGGTTTCTTACTTCTAAATTGAATTTGGGTAGAAAATTGTTGTGAGTGGAAAATCTTATGTCCCTTCATATTCCTTGAAATTTGCACCAAACAACCCATTCTTCTTCTTTTGAAAAAAAACTACCAAACTCTTATGACCAAAAGAACATGCAGAAAATCAAATTTATCCTTTTCAAATTCCAAAAAGATGAAAATGGACTTCAATCACACATCCCTTGTGGCTCAAATTATACAAAGGGGAGCTTGCAGTTAATGCCTAAACAATAACTCCCATGACTGACAAAACAACTTTAAAGTAAATTACAGTTAACTCAACTCGATGATGAATGGGAAACATTTGTTGACAATCCATATGTGGAAGGCAATCTGTATTGGCATCAAGGATGGGTTTCATGTAACAGGGTAAGCCCATAAAGATTTCCACTATAACCTAACAACAATAAAGAATTTCTATTGGCATAATCTTTTGTTAGCTTTTCATATCTTGTAAGTAAACAAATTCATTAATTTATACTACCATTGTCCCAAAATTAGAGCATGCTTCTGGGTTTTAAGAGTCAAACAGATTAGCTTTGAACTTGAAACAGATAAGAATCTTTTTGGTTATTGATAACAATTTAATAACCAGAAACAACCTCTCTATTCCTTCAGCTAAAGTTGTCACTTCACAATATTTTCAACAGCAAAACACATTTCTTGCAGCATGGTAGAACTATTTTATTCATGGTTTCAAGAGGTAGCAGCTGAATTTTTTTGGACAATTACCTGAAAAATCATTACGTTTGAATGTAATACTTCAACCATGGCATAACAGGGTGATAAAATGATCAAAGAAACATAACTATAATGGTTGTCATTCTCTTGGGCATTTTATCAAACAGTTCATCTGCATAAGACCCTGATGCAAATCTACCAGAAAAGCACAACAAAGGTAGACTAAACATGCCCCTGGACTGTAAAATGTTAACATTTTTTAGGTTAAGATCATAGAAATGATAGAAAAGAATAGGGGAAATTATACCTTAGGGTTTGTAACGCGATAAAGACCGTTTGATTGATGAAATGAGTAGACATCCAATGGCTTTAGAAGAAGCAGCAGTCGTCTCCTTCCCATTCGCAATCAGGGGTTTGCTTTGGTATCTCCTGGCGGGAACGAGTAACCAACAGAAACGAGAAGTGTTTGTAGGGCCTCAGCCATGGTTCATACTCTATATATACTCTTTCAATTCTGCCAAAAATATAACTTTTTCTTTATTTTTTAACCATGCTTGTCCACGACCTTAACTAATTTTAAGGGAATCTGGATGAAGCTTTATTATCAAGTGTTCACCGATTTATTTTAACGGATTAATGAAATAAGAGTTTGAGAATTTTAGAGATAGTTTACCAAACGTTTATCCGGGTAAGTTTTTATTAAGTCACGTTATCTTACCAGATGAATATGGTAAGAATCAATAATCTTACCCGGTAAGTACGAGACAAAGACCAAAAGTCTTACCAGGTAAGTGAGTGCGACGACTCTTACCACAATTAACGCTTACCGGGTAAATTGTTGCATATAATGTTGTTTTAGTAAACTAAAATCTTATTCGGTAAGTAAGTGATGTTATTGAATTTTATCGGTAAGTTCTTGCTGGGTAAGTGTATAGTAAATGACTTTGTACTTAGTAAAAGGGAAGACACAAATTAAGAGTCTTACCCAGTAATCATTTACCGGATTATAAACGTTTACCATCAATCAATTTTGATTGCGAACAAATTTACCTTATAAAATAAGTGAGAGTGATAACTTTTACTGCTATAAGCAATTACCAGATAAGTGTTGAATAAACGACCTCTTACTATTTGTTTGGTTTGCGGGAATTGATGTGACTTGGTATTGGATTCCATCTGAATTGATGTAACTTATAATGTTTTTTTTTTTGTATTTGTTAACAACATTTGTTTTATAATAATTAATAAATAAAAGTTAATTTAATTATTTTTAGAATTATTTATAATTTATTTTTATAAATATACCAAGTGCAATTCGTTACAATTCTTATAACCAAACACAACAAATATTCCAAATCGTTTTTATTCCAAATATTTTCAATTTCGTAAAAACATTTCATCAAACCAAACAAAACTTTTTAACTGAAAGTTTAGGGCCCATTTTTGTTTGATGAATTTTTTGTTTATAAATTTAGCGGCCGTTTGTCAAACATTTACCCGGTAAGTGCTTACTGGTAAACTTTAACACTATTATTTACTTATCGGGTAAGATTTTAGTCCACCAAAACAATATTGTATGCAACAATTTACCCGGTAAGCGCTTACCGTGGTAAGAGTCGTCGCCCTCACTTACCGGGTAAGACTCATGGTCCTTGTCTCGCTCTTACCGGGTAAGATTCTTGGTTCTTATCATATTCATCCGGTGAGACAATGTGACTTGGTAAACATTTATCCAGGTAAGTGTTTAATAAACGACTCATTAGATTTCGTTGAAAGATTTGGAATTGAAAAAATATCTGGAAGCTTTGGTGTGTTAGTTTGTAGAATTTGGAATGAAATTGAATTTCATTTTTTTACAAATAATTTACAAAAACAAATTATAAAATGCTTAAATTTACTTTTTTATTAATTGATTATTAAAACAAGTGTTTTAACGTATTTAAATATATTATTACAAACAAATCATATGAAATTCTGCAAAATTCAAACTACCTGTGGGATTTATAAATCCTATGTTTGCGGGATATCAATGAAGTACATGATTTCAAATCCAAACATTTATTCAAACCAAACATAAGATTTGAATGCTTCAAATCTTATCAAATCCCACAACCCAAATGAAACCTTCGAAAACAACCAAAAAAAAATATGGCTTGAAAAGACTCGAACCCAAACAATGTCGACGATAACGATAAAATGTCAGGAAAGAGCCCGTGAATCACATATATTGTTAGATCAGACTTGCATTTGAAGATTGGATCAGAGAAGACAATCTCATAATATTATTTTGTTAACTGTATTTAAAATATTTATAATAAATAAAGTTTTAAATCAATATGTGAATCACAAGTAATTACTGAGTGAGTAAACAATTTTGGTCCCTGTAGTTTGCTCAAAGATTGATTTGTCTTTTCTAACAGTTGCTAACCAACGGTGTTAACTTCAGGAAACTTGAATGTTATAAAACTGAAAAATTAAGAACCATCAATGTTGATACTTTCTCCATTTTAGAGAAGGTTTTGAAGAATCTGTTGGAGCAAAAATCTTAACATCTCCATTTAGATCATCGCAACAAATTCTCTAAAATTTCGTTATATTGAAGACTAAAATATTAATTATATTATTATAATATTTTATACATATAATAAAATATTATTTATCTCACATACACATTAATTATATTATTATAATATTTTATACATAGAAAAGCAGGAGATATAGTTTTAATTTCTGGAAATAATAATAATTTTTAATATATTTTCATCAATAAAAAATTTTGATATTAAACTTTTAGGAAAAAATAATAATATTATATTAGATAAATGAAATATTTTTAATAATATAATTAATATCGTAATCTCTAAAATAAAAAATCTGTTGAAGTTGAATATAGTTTTGTTTTAATTTATTTTTTTATTTTAGATATTTTTTATTAAATATATAATATATTTTACAATATAATAAATATTATAATATTTGTTTTTTTTTCCAAATATAATAATTAAAAAACAATAATTAATTAAAAAAGATACTTAGTACGTGGTTTTCATGGAAGCAACAAAATAGAGGCGGTGATGCGCACTACGTTGTGTTGTGGTCTTGTGGACATGCATCTATTTAATTATTTATTATTATTTATAAAAAGTCAAATATGATGCCTTGACCTTTTGCATTTATATTGTATAAATTGTTGACCGTCTAAACCCACCAACCAACGTTCTTTTGTTTTTCCGTCTATTTTTTTTTTAACATTTTAGATATTTAGAATATTTTCCATAGATTTTTTAAAATAAAAAAAAATAAATATTTTAAATTAAAAAATTCAGTTTTAATAGATTATTTAAAAGTATCCCTAAAATAAGAAAATAGGAAATAGAAATGTTTTTCTTTACTGATTTTAATTGTCGGTTCTCCATCTTGAAAAATATTTAGGAAATCTGTTAAAGATGCTCTTAGAGCATATCCGACAGATTCTTTAAAAATAAAAAGTAAAAAGTTAAAATATATTAATAAAAAATTACATTTATCTCCAACAAATTTTCTATTTTGAAGATTATCCAATTAATTATATTATTTATCTCTTTAAAACATTTAATTTCAAATAATTTCATTGGTATGATTAATAGAAAACCGTTTTTAGTGAAATCTTCAAATTTTAAACGGTTTGGACCGACCTAACCGTCAAAGAATAAAAATATACTAATTATATTTATCTCTCATTTAGGAATGACAACGGGCTGTATTCGAGCCGGTTATTGGTATCTCCGAAATCGATAACTAAAAACGTCATCGTAACCGCCCCGATCCCGTCGGGTTCCCCGATCCCCATTGGAGAACATGTTGAGGGTAAATATCCTCCTTTTCCCATTCACCATTGGTTATAACCGAACCCGAAACCGAACCCCGAAATTGATTTAAAAAGAATTACAATATGTTAAGTTTCACAAATAAAGATTAAATTACAAATTTTTTAAAGATGTAAGCTTAAATGTCTCAAAGATAATCGAACCAATTACATACAATGTATTATATTACAATATAAAACTAAACAGAAATTCAAATATCAAACAACTAAAATCACGATTAAACAAATAAACTAGATTTTTTCGTGAGCCTTATTTGGGTTGTTGAGATAATGTGAATAAAAGTCTTTTAAACTTTAATGTTACTATTTTCTTTCAATATATATATGTATGTATATAAATTAAAATTAATATATATACGCTTTTTGGGCCGGGCGGGAACAGTGATCCCCGTTAAAATCCCCAAATTTGTCCCCGAACCCCACCGCGTCCCCGATAAGATATCCCCAAACCTGGTCCAAAAGTTTCGGTTTTTGATTTTCACCATCGGTTTCAGTTTTTTTTTCCATCCCTATTCTCATTTTCATTCAGATGTCGAAATCAACAACCCTAATTCTTTTTTGTTTGAACGAGTGGTGTTGATAAAATTTGAAAATATTGAAAATGAAAAGGGGAAAAAAGTTGGAAGAACAAATTCCCTCCAAATGATTGGGCATCCCAAGCACCAAAAATAGCTTTTCACAGAAAAGCGATCCCACCCTTTCTCTCCCACCAAAAAATTTCTGGAAACATCAACAAATGGAATTCAAACAACCGGCGACCCTACTCCTTACTCATCTGTCGAATTTTGCTTTCATGATTCCTAAATTCTGTATTCAATCTTACACTTTCTTCTCCTCCTACAAAACCCTTGGTTTCTCCCTCCCTTCCAACACGCTACTTGTTCATCCACCAGGAAACTTCAACGTCAACGTCGTCCAAGGCTAGTGATCTATAAACAGGTTAGTTTTTTTTTCTGTAATTGAATTTTGAGTGGAAATCTATGAGTTCTGTTACTGTACATTTGTTCGTAACTGTATTGATTTGGATGAAGATTGATAAACCTTAGGAAATCGATGAGACGTAGTATTGGTTTAGATCATCTATTGCTTATTGAATTACCAATTTACGGTACCTGTGTGAATCTAGAAAAGAACATAGGTTTTATGTCATCAAATACGAGAGCCGAGTGAATTGAGAATTTGATTCAGTTGATCGACGATTCTACACTTCATTTATCCATTCTTGTTTCGTGCAATTCACATTTCACTCAGGGATTGTTTGGTTGATTTTCATAAAATTTATATGAACATAAATGTGTATGGATTCATTTCTATGTATAATTTGTGAATTTTTTTGTTTGAAAGAATATTTCTTAAATGAAATAAGTGTTTTTTTTAAATTACGAGTGGTATGTTTGGATTTTCTTTTAACTTTCTGCATAAAGCTTCAACTTTAGCTTATTGGATAAACCATTTTTTATATTATTAAGCAAATATCAAACAATTATATATAGCCGATCGAATAAACTGTAAGTCTCAATAAACTGCCAAAATGATTCCCCATTGCTGTGTATAGACAAGTGTGTATGTGGAGATCTATGTGTTGAGTGCGT